TATAGATCTAAACAATGATTTGCCTTCCAAATTTTTCTTTTCCTTCTCTTCATTGTTTAGTATTTCATTCTTACAATTATTGACTTTTAGTTTCTTCAGGGTTATTTTAGTCACAGAATTTCTTTGTCTTAGATATTTGCCTTTGAGTCATTTGAATTTTTTTTTCTTTCTAGATGCATCTATTTTCAGACAGATTTGGTTCTTAGCCGTGGCAATGTATTTTTAGTGTGTAGCTGCAATTTATTTTTACTCCTTTAAATTTCCAGACATGCATGTGCTGGGTTGTGTCCATTTTGGGCCACACCTGTCTGCAAATGACTCACATTGATGCCCTATCTATGTCACAGTATCCCCAAGAATTGTCCTTAAAGGTTTACTCATATTATATTGAAAATACACTTTACTGAAAAACTCTATAGAGAAAAATAGTCTTAATTTTCTTGGCATATTTTAAAAAATATTTTCCTTGCATACAATAACATGGCAGTCATATTATGCCTAGAAAGTTTTTCAGCCCTTTAAATGATGGAAAGCCTATCTTTTACAATATTTATGAAACTAGAAGACATTATGCTGAGTAAAAGAAGCAGAAAAAGAAGTGATATCCCTCAGATATGGAATCTAAATGAGTTAAACTCATAGAAACAGAATAGGATAGTGGTGACCACAAGCTTGGAGTTTGGAAAATAGGGAGCTGTTGGTCAAGGTTTCCAAGTTTCATGGCTGTGGAATGAATAAGCTCTAGAGAGCTCATCTCCAGCAAGTGTTCTACAGTTAATAATATTGTATTGTATCTGGATATTTGTTTAGAGAGTAAGTCTCACATGTTCTTATCATATACACAGAAGATAAGTACGTGAGTTGGAAGATGTATTAATTAGCTCAATTGTGGCAATCATTTCACAATGTATATATACATCTAAATACCACATTGTATGCCTTAAAATATGCAATATTATTTGTGAATTTTACCTCCATAAAGATGAAAAAAATGTTTCAATAAAAGGAAGACTTTTGCAAAATTGTTTGCAGAATTAAACTGTTTTAGAAAAACTATTCCACAAGAATCATCAGCTACAGGTATAATAAAGTTTATATTTTGATATTGATTATATTTTTATATTATCTAATTGATCAGAAACTTATCTGGTGTTGTTCCAGCCCAGGAAAATCCCTCACAAGCTCGATTCATAGTTAAAGCAACAGAAAAGATCCTCTTCTGAATCATAAATTATTAAACTTATTTGTTATCTTGCGGTTGCCAAAAGTGACTGATGCTGCTTTCAAGTATATCAATTAGCAAAATTGCTAAAAGTATACATTTTCATGGATATAATTAACAAATGTACATAAAAGTAAGCCAAAAAAACTTATATCAAGCTAATATTGGGAAAGTGTTTTTGTAGAATATAAAGTTTGTCACCAAAAATATTATTTATAATGTATAAATTTATGTTACTTCTCATATACCTTCAATACTTGTATTATGTTGTATAAGAAATAAAACGTTTTAAGGGGAAAAGTTTCATAATTCAGTACATATACTAATAATTTCCTTCAGGTTTTTACATAAGGACTTCTGCATTTTCTCTTTGCTTGGATCTGTGTCTCAGAATGTTTTGTGCATACATAACTGAATACCAGAGACAAGATAATTTATAAAGAAGATAAATTTATTAGTTCAAGAATCAAAAAGATCAATGTGAAGGTACTAGTATCTAGTGAGGCCCTCTCTCCTGTGTCATCTTGTGGCACAAAGCAAGAGGACAAGAGAGGGCTGAATTCACCTTTCTAAGAATCCCAATTCTAGCAATAAACAACCCACTCCCATAGTAACAGTAGTAACCCCTCATGACTATAGAGTTGTTTGTTTTTGTTTTTGTTTAGTGGACACAATATCTTTATTTTTATGTGGTGCTGAGGATTGAACCCAGGGCCTCATGCATGCGATGCAAGTGCTCTACCATTGAGCTACAACCCCAGCCCCATGACTGTAGAGTCTTTATGAGCAAATGGCTTCTGAAGCATCCCATTTCTCAACCCTGCTACACAGAGAATTATGTTTCAAATATATGAACTCTAGGACCAATTCAAATCATAGCAGCCTATGGCAAAGTACGCAGCCAGTCTTACAGCTTGAGCAGACTCATGAGTGGAACAAGCAGAGGGGCCTTTGATCCAGTTTCACAAAGTGCCACAGATTGACCCAATCACCTAAGAGGGGCCCTGCCCTGTAATGCCCTCTCATCTAAGGAGTTCGCACAAGGGTACCAGCTGCCAAGGGAACCATGAACACATAACAGGTAAGTTTTGCAGAACCTATCCCAGGGTTTGACTAGATGCTTTTCATGTCTAAGCAGAAATGGAAATAGGAAATAGAAATTAATGGCAAGTATTGTTAAATGTATACGCCAGAATTTATAGTGCAAGGGAGATACACAGAGACTGGTGGTCTGGTACCTGCCTTCAGGAAATACCCAGCCAAGTGAGCTGAAATGGTCAGCAGATAAGTACAATGTCACTGCATAAAAGAGCAACAATAGGAGGGGTGTGTGTGGGTGTGTGTGTGTACAGGGGTTGAGGAGAAAGGGAAGAAATGAAGAAATAGGCTCAGGAGACAGACCATCCCAAATTTTTGCAGCTAACAAATGGCAAGGTTGAAATTCAAACCCAGGTCCTCTTGCCAAATCCGCTACTTTTTCATCTATACCAAGGCATGGTTATCCACATCTATACACCTGGTCTGAATGCACACATCTGCCATACATCTTAGTTTGTTTTCTGTTGCCAAAACAAAATACCCAAATTTAGGTAATTTATAAAGAATAAAAGTTTATTTGGCTCCTGGTTCTGGACACTAAGATCCAAGAGCATTATACTAACCTTCTTGCTACATCACAACAGAACAAAGAGCATCATCACATGACAAGACAGAGATAACATGCTAGCTGGGGTCTCACTTCCACCTCTATAAAGTCACCAATGCCATCCTTGGGGCCCCACCCTCATGATCTCATTTAATCCTTAGTACATTCCAAAAGCCCTACCACCCAAATTTTAATGATACTACAAATGAAATTTGGAGGCAGGGGATACATTCAAACCATATCAATGTTTAACCAAATCATCCATTCTCAGCACCTGGGCAGCAGGGATGAAAGGAGGTGGGCAGGTCGGAGAAAAAGTTTAGATGGATAGGTGGGAAAACTGAATGATGATGGAAGAGGAAGACACTGAATTAAGATTCAAGATTCTGGCTAGCAGAAGTGGGTGGGAGGAAATACCCATCAAAAAGCGAAATGCAGAGGCCAGGTGCACTGTGGTACACACTTGTAATCCCAGCAGTTTGGGAGGCTAAGGCACAAGAATCACAACTTCAAAGCCATCCTCAACAACTTAGCAAGGCCCTAAACAACTTAGCAAGAACCCTGCCTCAAAATAAAAAGGGCTAGGGATATGGCTCAGTGGTTAAATACCCCTGAATTCAACCCTTGATACCAAAAAAAAAGAGGAATGCAAACAAGCAGGAAGCTGGGGTTCATGGGCCAGTGTGTTTGGGGTCCAGCTCTGACAGAAAAATGACACAGTATCCTAACTCACCAGCTGCCCATTCTTCTGCCAGATCACTCCCTGTCCCTGTTCTCCTGGATCATCTCTGGAAGAGTGGCAGAAAGTAGGGGCAAATGATAGCCTCATACACTGGATACTGAGGAACACCAGTGGTCATTCTATATGGTGTGAACAGAGCACCAACAGCTGTGCCAGCACTTATCACTCAGGAAGCTGGCTTGAGAGCATGAAGAAGACTCCTATCCAGGAATGTGAGAAGAGCCACCAGAGAGCAAATCACTGTTACTACCTCTCGTTAGTAAATCCTTTCACATCCATCTATCTTTGGCTCCTCCAACTACCCCAAGATATAGCTTCTTATTTTATAGATGAAAAGGAGCAATGGTTTGTCCAAGGGAAGGAAAGGGGGGAAAAGGCTCCAGGTCAGGAATTAACCACTACATCTTCACATGTATTAACAAAACCGTTCTCTCAAATACGCCTTAGGAGCTGCAAAAAGTTCAGATGGATCTTGTGTGCAAAGGTTCTGAGTTGGTCAAGTCTAAGTTCTAGGGACTGAATAATGGCAAGGGTAGCTCTAGAAATAGCCCAGAGAGCAGGCTGGGCAGGCCAAATTCTTGTTTTGGGCAGTGCTAGGGATCAAACCCAAGGCCTAGAACATGCTAGGCAAGCAAGCACTTTACCACTGAGCTACATCCATAGACTGAATCTATGGTTTTTGAAGTTCAAGTCATCAAAGAATTCTAAAATAAGTGGCAGACAAAATTGGAGTGGTTTTTTAAAAAATGCCCCCTACTTCCTAGTAAAAAATGGCCAGAAGCAAAAGCAGAGGCAAGTTAAGTTTTCCTAGGAATGTAAGATAAAGGCAAAGGAGACCTGGATTTCAAAGGCCTGGGAAGAAATGGATGGATTTGTAAGGTATCGAGGAGATAAATAAACAGGGCAAGTGATTAACTCCACGTGGAGAGATGGAAGAGGAAGAAGTGGCTACCATCGTCCCTCCCACCTGTGAGACCCCCAAACCCCACACGGCAGCCCCCCAGCCCATCATTTGAGGCATGATGCTGAGATATGTCCTGTTAAATGGTAGGACCCAAACTGAAGTTGAATTAAATAGAGGCATTTAGACATTTTTTCAGAATGCCATGATGTCTGCATGCCAGAATGGGGTATACTCAGCAAGATCCATCTTCAATAGCAAAAGTGTACAGTTAGTTACCTATTGTATGGTACTATCTGCTCACTAGTCTTGATCAGAAGCAACCTTACTTCTGCCCAAGGGCCTATGAAAACAAATCTTTTAGTTAACTCACAGCCCCTCTCTGAGGAAGTCCATTCTGAAGTCTTCATCATCTGTGGTTACTGCATAGACCAGGCACGACTTCCCACTCCATGTGGGGTTTTTGCTGCCAGGAATGAGGCTGGCAATAGAGATGCTGCACATGGAGCTTTATTTCCTTCGGGTATGTACAGGTATATATAGTTGGCTTGAGTCTATGGTACATTATTTCACAGAATTCTCTTACACACAGTGCATACTCCTGGGCAGGAAGCAGCAGATTCTGTTCCAATTGTCCATGGATGGTGGAGGAAAATGATACTAACAGGAACACCCCTTCTCCAAAGACATTCATAGGGACTGTTTGCCCCCTTTGCCAGATACTAAAGCCCTCCCATGGACAATCTGTGCCTCCCACCTGCTTTGGGCACTTATTGATGGGAGCTGGGTGGTGGTGACAGTAGCAGCTACTGCCCAAGTCTTTCTTCTCTAGAATAGAATACTTGTGGGAGCCCAAAAAAGTTAGGGCCCCTACACACCAGCAGAGGCAAACTGACACCTGACACCCAGAGCCTGACCTGAACCCTTGGCCCCCAGCATGTGCATAGCCTTCTGAGCCCTGTATGGCCTGGCTTCATGGGGCGCTGGCATGCATCTTCTCCAGGCAACTCGTCCAGAACATAACCAGTCGGTTGTCACGGTTGATGCAGAAATCTGTGAAGTCTTTCAGCAGCCTATCTGCAAATTTCTCATCCCCTGTGGCACTAGAGCGCCAAGTCTTGGTAAGCATGGTGTTATAGGCCCAGTTATAGCCAACCCGTTCCTCACAGAACATGTTTTGGTTGGTGGAGCTGGTGGAGTTCCGCCGCCGCCTCTGCTGCCCTGAGAACTTGCGCTTGGAGTAGGGCAGCTGCAGAAACACTGTTCCTGTAGGGAAAAGGCAGGGCCTGTATAGTATCCACCAGGAAGCACCTGGAGATGGCTGAGGTGCTTCTGCCACCACAAGTTCAGAACAGGGAAAGGGATCTCTAAACAGGCCCAGGCCCCTCAGGGCTCATGTACCTGCCAGAGTCCTCCCTAATCAACCTTTTTGCTCATAGTTCCTCACCTGTAACATGGATATACTGAGGCTTGTTCTCAGCAGGGAAGTTAAATGCAGAGGCAGAATATTTATCTTGTACAAATCCAAACCTAAGGGAAGGACAGGAAAGTATACTGGTTAAGGTCTCCTTAGCTAGAGGGACAAGGGGAAAGAGTGGCTAATAAGACTAACTGCTTGAGATAAAGGTATATGAAAAGATCTCATTCAAGGTGGACCAGGCAGGCTGCTTTATTTCACCCTCTCTATTCCCCAACCTCTACCCCTACTCATAAAGCAGCTCTCCAGCTCTCCTGTGCCCCAACACCTTTCATCTCCTGGGTCAACCATATGATTTCAATGAATGAAAGCCCCTCTACCTGATGCACTCTTCATACAGCCAACCCTTTCTCCTGCCACATCCCCAGCTATCCCAGTAGCCCTCCCCATTGTAGGTTTCCCCATCTCATCCTATGTCTTCCCTCTGCCTCTTGCTGGAATTTATCCCAGGTGCTAATTGGCTGCAACACCCACCCACATACATTCCCCATCTTAATTTACCTTAGTCACACTTCTCCCCCTTCCCCACTGTTCTCAGGCTAAGCATCTAGAAAGTACTCAATAAAGGCCTTGAATTGAAATAGAATGAAATATCTCAATTGAAATTCTTTCTTTAAAAGTGAGGAACAACAACCTGGGACTCTCTGCTTTGCTGCACTCTGGAAATGGGCAGGAGGAGCCATTATTCATCTATAACTTGTTCTATTTCTGGTTCTTCTATTTCCATAAAGCACATTTATTATAGCCCTAACTGCTAAGAGCTATAAAGGACGTGCTAACAGATGTGGCGCCTGCCCTCTAAGCCTGAGAGGTTTACGTAACAAAGGCAGTGCTAAGGAGATAAGCTTCCTGTCTCCTATTCTGCGCTGAGCTCCCCAGGAGGGATTACTAGCCTTTATCCAAGAAGCTGGCATTACTCTGGTATTCCTTAAGAATTTACAAAAAAAAATATAGGAAATCAAATGTGCAAATTAAATGGATAGGCAAATATGCACTGCAAGCTTTTTCATCTTCAAACTGAATCTATCATATATAAGAATGGTCTGGATTTTGCCTTTGCTTCCTCTCTACTTTCCAATCAAGTTCAATGATTTACTCAGCATGAATCAGCCTGACCAGAGTATTCTTGCTTCATTTCTTTCTTAAGTTACCAGGAACATCTTTTATTTAAAAAAAAAAAAAAAATTAATCACACAGCACAAGTCCCTGACTATTTCACTGCCCACTTGGGGAGAATGTAAGGCAGGACTACAGTGAAGGCAAGGAGCTCCTATCCCAGGGAAGGGGCTGTACTAATCTCACCCAGCTACCCAGATGAAGTTAAAGGAGATAGGAGTCAGAGCAGAGGGGATCCAAGGAAGATGGACACTTTTCATAGCTTTTTTTGAGATGGACCTTGTAAATGGGCTAAATGTATCATTTCAGAGCCACATTCCCCTTAGAATTTCACTCCATGGAAAAATGGCAAGAAAAACAGCCAGTTTGGGCAAGGCACTGTGCTAAGCATAGTGAAAGGGAAAAATGCATACCTTTGCTCTCCAGGGCTCCCAAATCATTGTAACAGATTGATACAGTGTTCAGGAGAAAAGGATGGAGTAATTAGAGTAGAAAGACCTGAGAATCCCTGGTAGGGGAGGTATATTTCACATGACACTGAACAAGATGTAGCAAGAAGTTTAATGAAACAAAATAGGAGGTTTGATTTTCACCATGATTAACATGAAGTAGCAGTTGGACACCAACTTAGTGATACTGAGACAGTGTGGTTGCTGGTCTTGTCTCAGGGAGACAGCTAAGCCTAGGGAAGGCTTTCCCTAGCACACTTATTAGGTGTCAAGAAATATTTATAAGCTCATCTATTGCTTTTTAACCATTCATTGTCTTTTCAACATGTGTTAAGGGTCTCAAATTTTACATATTTCCATTTTGTGTTATCTTCTAAATAGCTTGACTGAGGCTCTCATTGGAGGCTGGGGAGAGAGCTCTAAAATCTTCCCTCAACTGAAAGAAGGCAATGAAGTCTGAAAAAAAAAAAAAAAAAAAAAACAGGAACTGGCAGGGTAGTGCTTATCTCAGAAAGAGTCTTGTTGGAGATAAGTAGTTAATCTGTCATTAGTGGAAGAGATCCCTTTCCCCAGGAACAAAACAAACTGGGTTTCACTTTGCTGATTGCTATTGGAGATAAATACTGATTCCTTCCTACTAATGCCTCTTGCTAAGGGACAAACCTGTGTGCAATGGCTTCCTGAAAAAGATGCATTCGATCCCAATATGTTTCTGGTTCAAAGCCTGTAAGACAAAAGATTCTATGTTGATTTGTGATCACAGATTTTGCCTGCATTTGGGTTTCTGCGCCCTTCATTACTCTTAGCAGTTATTGCTCCTTGAGCATAAGCTGCTTTTCCACACAACCTCTTTTGGGAAGATCATCCTCCATCCCAAGGTCAAAGAAAGGACATGTATGTGTTCACCATGTCCTCCCCTGAGCTACAGCAGGATCCAGTAAAGTGATGAATCCTCAGAAGCCAGTGTGAACTGCTTAATAATAAGAATCATTCTAATGATATCTCATGTCAAAAGCTGAAAAGAGCATTTTAAATACAAAAACAAGACAAACCTTAAATGCATATTAGCTACTTCTAAACAACAACAACAACAAAAAAAAAAAAAAAAACATGTTTTTATGTTACCAATCTTCCATTTCCTTAGAGGGAAAGAAAATATTACAAGCTCCATGTTAGGGATAAGAGAATTGAAACAAGTAAACATAAAAATGAATTTCTGAAAGGAAATTAGGGTGGTGGGGAGAAACAGAGCACTTGGGTACCCTCACCATAAGCCACTGCATTATCCAGCCTCACTCCTGCAAGGCTGCTGCTATGGACCAAGAGCTGAGTGAGGTGGGAGAGCTGAACAGGCTGTCACATAGCAACAGGCGGCAGAGCCTGGGCTGCTCTTGGGGTGAAGGTGCTGAGGGCTGGGGCAGCCATTGCACAGTCAACCCAAAAATAGGGATGCCTATGGTGGCTTCATTATTCTTCCATATTTGGAACTTTCTACCTAAGGAAAATTTGAGGATTCTGAACAATAGGGAAAAAAAGAAAATGGTTTTGGCTTTAATGGGAAAACACACAAAGACAGCACATGCTTGTCAGATTTTTAAGATTTTGAATTGACTGTTAGCAAAAGCAGAGATAACAAAAGTGAAGCCAGATTTAAAGTTAGGAAGTCAGTGTAGTTAGGTAAATTGGGTTTAATATCGAGTAAGATCCAAAATGGAGGCCATGTTAAAAATGAATTCTGGGAAAAGCAGAACAACTCTTGGAATGTTAAAGAAGTCCGGAAAGCCCAAGGCCCAGAGCCCATCCCAAAGAAATGTTAATAAAGATTACTTCTTTGCCCCACCTGTGCCCCACCCTTCGGGCCTTCCCACCTAAGTTCCATCACTGAAAGAACTATAAAAAGGGGAAATAACCACACTTCCACGGATTCCATCTCTTGGGTTCCCTTCTTCCTCCGGGAGAAGTCTTTTCTGCTGTCCTTTAATAAAGCCTCTACTTTCCACTCTAACCTTGCCTCGGTGTGCTTCTCTGGTGTTATTCTTCAACATTGGGGAAGCAAGGACTCGTCACCGGTCAACAGCGGTACCAGAAGGAGGCCCAGAAGCAGGAAAATTGATTCTTAAATTTGAGGCTTTATTCCTTTAAACCAGGACTCTATGTTGGCAACAAACTGAGGATGCTGGTCTTAAAGACTGGGTTACAACTGGCCAGAAAAACCATCAACTTGCACAAAAATATCCTCTAATGCAGGCCCGTGAGCTATTCTGTGCTGTTTCAGTAAGGGTGGAGGTGGAGACTCTGTAAACTCTATGTATCTCAGAGTCCATGACTTCTGGCAGGAAGGGGCTCACCTGGCACATTAAAAAAAGTCTTCAAAATAGTTAAAAAAAAAAAAAAACACATAGATAGGCCTCTAGAAGGTTGTATGCTCAAAAGAGCTGCCTCTCACATGAAAAGCTCAGGAACACTGAACCTGGCCTGCTCCACCTGGCAAAACCTCCTCACCCTCTGGGCTGGTTTTCTGCTGCCAGCCATGATATGAACTTATAAGAGCGCAGCAAGAAAGCATCTCCCTTACATTCAAGTTACTTCTTTCCCATTCATAATCTTTATATCCCAGGACTCCTGACATATTGGCATCAACTCTAGCTTTTCATATTAAAAAACAACATCTGTGAACTCATGGGAAGATTCATAGGAGCTATACAAATAAGTTCATCTGCAATGAATGCATGGTAATAAAGAATGATGTACTGTATAAAGTAGAGCTCATCCTTTAATCTGTCATAAACCTGATGGACTATGGTCAAATGGTAGGTTAGAGTGGGTCCCATGTGCTCCCTTTCTGACTGATGACCCTCTTCCTGGGAGAAAGGCTCTGAACTGATGAGTACTGCTATCTTTCTTGAGACTGCTTGTCTTCCTTGAGATGCAGGACTTGAGCCACATTCAAGGCTCCAAGGGCTGACACACTGCAGCTTTGTCCAATAAAACTTGTTTCCTATTTTGCTTTCAATACCCCTCTTTTGGATCTTTTTACACAGAACAGCATATATAAGCCTCCCACAAGGTTCAAATCCCTGAAACCCAAGCCAGCTAGGCTGAAGCAAATGAAAGGAGGGTGTGGGAGGACAGTAGTACTGCTAGAGAGTTACAGGGCATGATGCCCTCTCCCACCAGGGTTTCAGGTCTTAAGATAGCCTTTGGGATTGGCAAGGCAGCTCTGGTCAATCCTGTTTTAGGAATAAGGGATTTGAGTCTCAGAGATATTAAGTGATTTATCCAGGGTTACCCAATTGCTAAATGAGGAATGAGATAGAAATCCAGATCCTTTTGGGTCCTTGTAGAAAGGCTCTCCCTTTTCACTAGCCTGTGATGATTAGATAGCCAGAAAGGTGTCCTTGAGGAGAGATGCAGATGACATTCAGAGGGAAGTAGCTCTTACTATCAAACAGGTGTTCACTGCCCTCCTTGAGTAAGCAGCTGATATTGAGCGGGATGAAGAGCTGGGCTCGCAGGGGATCGCCATACAAGTAGCTGGGAAGTGCAAAAGGACCCTCCAATACTGGTACCAACAAAAAGCCACAGGAGGTAGCTTTTCGATGCCAACCTTGGACCTAGCAGAAAGTACAGAAAAAAGAGTGTCATCTCCATGTTCTTGCTGACAAGAGAAATACTTCCCAAGGAGCAAACCTGCCAGAGCTGTGGCATGCAGTGATTGGTATGTTCATTTACACATGTCCCCTGGTTACAAACAGGCCTATGACAAAAAAACAGTGCAATTTCACTTCCTTGATATATACTCAAAAAAACTGTGATGTAAACAAAAGTTCCTTTTCATGGCCCATGCTGCTACAACATCAGAGTTTTCTTTGAAAAAAAAACAGCCTGGACAGAACTAAAACCCTTCTTATTCTGTGGTATACTGGAGGAAGGTCACAGGATATAGGTTAAGTCCTGCTAAATTACCCTGTATCAGGAATTTAATAAGTCCAAAGCATCAAATAGGAAAAAAAAAAATCCACTTAAACTGCCTGAGACGAATATGACAGAGGGTGGAGAGGACTCTGGTGACCTCTGTCAAAAGTGATCAGCACTGACATGTAGAATCAGAACCACTCTCTGGGAAATTCCCCAAAGCCATATGATGGAAGACCAAAAATGAGAATTACTGGGGCAGAAAGACATACTTCTTCCCATCAATAACATTTTTCTATATGGAACAATTTTTGAGCTTTTGTGATACTTTTATTAACCATAAAACCAATGTATACTTTTAAAAGGAAAAAAAAAAGCTGAAATTGGAAATGTATGTTTCAGTGGTAGAGTGCTTGCCTAGCGTCAATGAGGTCCTGGGTTCAATACTTAGCCATTAAAAAAAGATGAGGCTCTGGGATACAGATGAGATCTGTGTCAAATATTATTTTATTTACTTTTTTTTTTTTTTTCCCCAAACAGGGTCCTGGGATGTTACTCAGTCTGGTCTTGAACTTGTGGGCTCAGATGATACTCTCACCTCAGCCACTCAGCTACAGGTTAAAAATTATTTAGACACTGTGGCGAGTGACTACAATCCCAGCTAGACCTGGCCAAAAATAAAAAAAAAAACAGTATGGGCCATACCTTAACTTACACAAATACAATTATGTTAAAAGTTGAAGGGAATTATTCTTAGATCTTTTCCCAGGAACTCTCGTAACAACAGAACCAAGATCTCTGGTTTGATCAAATTAATTCCTAAGACTGAGTCAACATTTTTATTTTAGGTAATATATATCCTTATAAAATCTCACAACAAATGTGAACATTGCCTTAAGGTAAAAATTCACCTAAAGCATTAGCAGCATTGAGTGGATTTGACATGTATAGATATGAAATGTATACTTTTTAAAGATAGTTGCTAAACTCTTTGGAGGAAAAAAAAAAAAACATGTTTTTTTCTGCCCAACTGTGTGTGTACATGTTACTACTATGGTCTTGTTGTTTTGAGATAGAGTCATTAGGTAGGTCACGCAAGGAAAATGCTGATGCCTAGTGGGTCAGGGGTTAATTTTGCCTGGAGGGAGCATCATCCTGGTGTCAACCAGCTAAGGAGAGGCTGGTGTCCTTGTAAGCTGTGCAGGACGAGCCTAGCTTGACTTGGATCTTTAGGATACTTCCTGGGTGAGTCTTTCTGAGGGAAGGGTCTTAAAGATGATAACACCATATATTGAGGCTGACTGTGCCAGGCAGACAAGACCCACACAAAACTCTGCCCCAGGAAACAGTATCTTATGGGACAAACCAAGACTACAATAAAACTTTCCAGTCAGTGCTGTGCTCATTCCTCTTAGGTCATCTTTCATCTTTCAGTGAACTCTTTTTTTTAATTTTTTTGGTTTGTTTGTTTGTTTTTGCATTACAATTCTTAATACACCATTATACAATAATTTATCATATCTCTGATTACATATAAGGTATGTCTTTTTTAACTTCCCAGATGTTCTCACAGCTGTGTAATGAAATGCTTAGGCTGCTGTTAGAGTGGAGTCAGGCTCAGCTTACCCACAGAAAAATATTCTTGAAGGGTAAATCAGAGTGTATAATAGGAGTAGCACACTGTGATGATGATTGAGGAAGGCTCCAGGAAGATAGTGGCAGCCTGGATAAGGAGTGTTTATTCTAATAGGCACTGGACCAGGATGGGCAATGGCCAGGGATGACTTACTTCTTAGCGTGGGACGAGTAAATGTCCTGATTAGAGAGTCAGGCCAGGACAGAACAGAGGGAGGAAAGACAGGCAAAAAGACTAGTTAAAATAAGGCTTCTTAGCCTTGGAATTTGTGACACCTTGGGCCAGTTAATTCTTTGTTTATGGGCTGTCCTATGCTTTTTAGGATAATGAGCAGCAACCCTGGTCTCTACTCACTAGATGCTAGTAGTACTCCTACCCTCACCATGTTTGATAAGTAAAAAGGTCTGCAGATATTGTCAAATGCCCCTGAGAAGCAAAATCACCCTTGTTTGAGAACTCACATATTAACAACAGTTATGCTCATTAACAAGGAATTGGTTACATAAATTATGGAATAACCCAAAATTCTGTAGCCCTTAAAAACAAAATAAAGGGGTTGGGGACATAGCTCAGTTGATACAGTGCTTGCCTTGCATGCATAAGGCCCTGGGTTCAATCCCCAGCACCACCACCACCAAAAAAAAGGAAAAAAAAAAGCAATGATTTTTAAAAAACCCAAACAAAAAATAAGGCAGATTTATTTGTGCTGATATGGAAGACACACAGGTACTGGGTGGAAAAAGCATGCATCCTACATTACCATCCCAATTAAAAAAACAAGAAGCAAAATTTTGTCTATGCAGAGAATCTCCTTAGGAGTACACTAAACTAAATGGTAGTTGTTACTCTTAGATGGAAGTCCCAGAGCACATGGTGAAATAGAGACTTGCTTTTCACTCCAGACCCCTGATTCTTAACTGGAGGCAATACTTCCCCTTCCCTAGGAACATGTGCTGATTTCTGAAGACATTTCTGGTTATCACTGTGGAAGTGTGCTACTGGCATTTAGTGGATAAAGGCCAGATGCTGTTCAACATCCTACAATGCACAACAGAAATGCACCCTACAGCACCCCACAACAGAGAATTATCTGGCACCAGATGTTAGTAGTGCCAAGGTTGAGAAACCTTAACCCGTACCCCGTTTGAATGTTTTACTGTTTAATTTTCTTAAGGCTATTACAATAGGATGAAAAGGTAATAGGAGCCTGAACCAAATAATTAAAGAGATATCTACTAAGAGCCCCTTCCCCTCTTAGAAGTGAACAAAACAAGGCCCTAATCAAATGCATGAAGTTCTCACCATCTCAAACAGCACAGCAGCAGTCACTGCCATCCAGTGTAGCTTGATCTCAAAGGCTGCATTCAAGGAGAAGTTACCATGGTAGTAACAGCTGCACCACTCCAGCCGGTCTGTACGGTTGTTCACGTCAACATCCAGGGTCACAGTCCTCTGCTCTGGGACAGTGGCAGCTGTGTCAGCACATAAAAAAAGGCCAAAGTAAGAGGAATGGGATGGGGAAGAAATATAAACAACTGAGCATACAGATGTGAAATTGCGGAACTGCCTAATAGAAAATCAGAGACTTGAGCTGGGGCTGTAGCTCAGTGGTAGAGCACTTGCCTAGCATGTTTGAGGCACTGGGTTCAATCCTTAGCACCACATAAAAATAAATAGCTAAAATAAAGGTATCAAAAATATAAACTATTTTTTTAAAAATCAGAGACTCTAGAAATTTTCTGGAAATCATCTATTCCCAGGGTCCCCAAATTTTTTCTGTTTGTGAATAGATAATAAATTATTTTAGGTTTTACAGGGCATATAGTTTCTGTCTCAACTACTCAATATAGTGCAAAAGTAAACACAGACATTGCATTAAAGAACGGGCTTTCTTTATGCTGGGCATAGTGACACACACCTGTGTCCCAGCAATTCCAGAGGCTAAGGCAGGAGAGTCCTAAGTTCAAGGCCAGCCTAGACAACTTAGCAAAAACATTTCTCAACATAAAATAAAAAGGTTTGGGGCAACAGTTCAGTGGCAGAGCACTTGCCTACTGTGCATAAGGCCCTGGGTTCAATCTCCAGTATTACAAGGATAAAAAAGGAAAAAAAAAAAAAAAACTTATTTATAAAAACAGATAGCTTTTAAACTCAGAAGGTCAAGGATTGCATGTTTCCTCTCATATGTGGAAGTAGAGAGGAAAAAGGAGGGATTAGGGAAGTCCCATGAAAATCAAAGGGCAATCAATAGACTAGATAGAGAAATGGAACTAGGGAAAAGAAGGAAATACTGAGGAATGATGTCAGTCAAATTATATTGTTCTATTGTGCACATTTACAAATACGAAACAACAAATCTACCATTATGTACAATTATAATAAAAAATATGTGAAAAAAATCAATTGGTTTTTTAGGGCAGTTAAACTATCTGTATGATACAATAATGGTAGATACATGTCATTATATGTTTTTCCAAAACCATAGATTGTACACCATGAATGAATCCTATATTATCACCCATGAACTTTGGGTGATAATAGTATGTCAACATAGATTTCATGAATTTTAAGGAATGTCACTCTGGTGGGAGATGTTGATATTGGGAAGACTAGGTATATTTGTGGTCAAGGGATATATATAAACTTTTGGCACCAATTTTCTTGTGACCCTAAAATTCTTCTTCAAAAAATGGGCAATTATAAAACAAGCAAAGAAATCATAAACTAGAAGGCCACTTAAACTACAGTTTGCCTCTCCTTAATCAAATCCAACCCTTTCATTTACAGGACAGAAACCAAAGTTCAAGAGGGAAGATTCCTTGGCTAAAATTATGGAGTCAGAACCTCAGGCAGGCTGAACCCAAGATTATCTGATTTCAGTGATCCACAAAGGGATATAAGGAGAAGCAGCCCAGACCAGAATAAGGAGGAAGTCTTCCTTTTCTGGTTTCAATCCAGGAAGGCATTAGTTCTATAATCTTTTCTCAATAAATAAAACCTCATGATAAAGTTTAACACTCTGTTCCATCATCCTTTGGTGGAAGACTGGCTTAGTGCCAAACTTGCTTATCCTCTGGCATCCTTGTTCAGAAAACCTACTCAATCCAAGACAGCAATATATTAGAGAGGTGTCAGAAAATCAAGTTCCTTACTAGATAAAGGATTGAAATAGGCTCAGAAATTTTAAAAGGTCAAGGCTCTGTTCTGCCTGCCTTGGATACTGTCACACCTAAGGTTTCTATAAATTATGGTCTGCCCTTCATTTGTCACCCACCCCCATGAGTTCAATGGTTTCTATTTATCTTAAGTACTCAACTTAGTCCTGGGTCTGCAGGTAGAAGCATTGGATTGTATTATCTCTGACAAGGATAAAATGGATCCTGAGTCAGCAGTTTTACTGAGCTGCTAATAGGAGGCAGGGAAGAGTTAGCTAGGGCACTGAATGGCACCCAGGTAAACTGACATTTAGCTGCCAGGTGTACCACTTATTTTTCTCTCAAAACTAAAACATACAAAAGATCTGGATTTGGAGTTGGAAGACCTAAGTTCTGCCATTTACTAGTATGTGTTTCTGAGAATATAGCTCTGGTTTAGTTCTTTGTCTCCAAACTGAGAGGTGGCAGCTTAGCTGTTTCACAGAGGAGGGGTGAGGAACAAGTGAACATAGCAGAGAAAGGATTATAGACTCCCTTTTGCCTTCTCCTCAAGCCTCCTCATTTCTATCTCCCCTCCTCTCCCTCTGCTCTCCATTTAAGCCAGGAGCTCACCAAATCTCAAGGTGAGACCTGGGCATAACTCCATAAACACTGTCCATTATGCTTAAGGTACTTGGTACCTTAACTTGACCACTCTGATCCTAAAGCTGCACCTCTGTCTCTGCTTCATGTTTCTGATTCATGACACAGACAGACTGACCCTGTACTTCACAGACCGAATCAAAGAAAGCTTTGCTCTCTACTCTTAAACACTGTATCCCTCCCCCTCAGGTAAAAAGCACCCAGCAAAAATAAGGTCACTTCATAAACATCAACAGTGACCACATACATCTCTTCTTTCCCATCTGGAATATTAAGTTCAACACAGACTGGTCTAGAAAAGCCCAAAGGAACTGTTCTGCCAAGTGGTTGTATCACTGGTTTCCGAGACAGATACAAGATGGTGGACTGGAAGAAGACCTCATTTCTTGTGGCTCTGTGACTCAGGATTCAAGCAGAGGAAATACTGTTTCTCTGCAAGGCAGCTGTTGCTGTCCACTGATCCCCTGCTGTTTACCCCCCATTCACCCTCCACAATAGCCTGATAGCTGGCTGTCTACCAGCATACCGTCCGCCATTTGTCCATTTGCCTGCCTCTTGCCTGCCCATCCACTGCTGCCTGACATCCACCTGCAGATTGCCTGCCACTAGCCTACAGACTGGCAGCAGACCACCAGTGGATTGTTGGCTGCCCGCTGCCCCCTGCTGCTTGGAAGTCCACTGTCACAGTACCCGCAGGTTTGGTTACATGCAGCCCTCACCATCTTGGGACACTAGTCAGGGCCCACAGGTTTGCAATTGCCACCGCTGCCATCTTGGGACATGGCTGTATCAGTCTAGGGATACCAGCCAGGGCCTGAAGATATATTGTCGGGGTACCTGCAGGTCTGGTTGCACCTGAGGTCTTTCTGCTGGGTGTGCTAGTGGCCATCATCTGGCTGTCTCTTTGTAGGGTCTCTCCTTTGTGTGAGTGCATCCCTGGTGGTTTCCCTACAAGTTGAAATGGTATTGAATCTTGGGAGTGCAGCAAGGCAGAGCCTTGGGAATCTGAAGCCAGGTCCATAAGACTGCAGCTGGGCTTGTATGGGCCAGTCTGATTCTAGCAAGCTGTGGAAAGTCAGAGACTAGGGGCAGTTCCCCAAAGGGAGCTCAGTTGGAGAAACTGGAGGAAACCAGGCTCTCTTCAGCTCATGGGGATGAAATGGGTGGGAAGACTGGAGGAGGGTATGAGAACATCTTGCTGGCACCCACGGGACTGGAGCTACCATTAAACTTCAGACAACCCCACCTATCGGCAGAGAGTGGAAGTTAAGAAATTTTTTGAAAGCTAGCGGAAGCTATTGTTCAATTTTCCACTGAGACTTTCCTTTTTTTTTTTTTTTAATTTCTTTTGCCCTTTCCCTCATATCTCTACCATCTTTTAATCCAAATATTTTTCATGCAACAATTTATTGAGGAATGGGATGTCTGAATAGTACATTACAGTTTTGTTGTGTATCCTTATATTTATACTTTTTTTTAATCTGTATAATTTTTTTTTCCTCACCTACCTGTCTCCCTAGATTCTCTTTCTCACTTCTCTCATACTAACAGCCAACCTCTATTAATCCCTCTCTCTCTCTTACTTTAAATTTTTTCCTCTATCTTCTCTCCTCTCTCATAAACATCATATCTCACACTAATTCTGTTCCCTCATTGTCTATCATTAGAAATGGTAAACCCTTTCAGCAAACTTACTGTTTATATTATAGACAATAATTGAACACATCATTTCTGTTTATTGTGACAAAACTATAGACACCTTAATAGGAGATATTTGGTTTAAAGGTGTATATTATTTGCATTGGGTGCAAAGATGAAACTAAATCAAGCTAAAAACCAAAAATAAACCAAAATGACCAGGAATACAAATCATATCCCAATAATAATCCTGAATGTTAATGGCCTAAACTCATCAATCCAAAGACATAAACTGGAAGATTGGATTTTAAAAAAGACCCAACAATATGCTGTCTTCAAGAGACTCAAATCCTAGGAAAAGACACCCACAGACTGAAGTTAAAAGGTTAGGAAAAAACACATCACTCACACGAACATGTAGACCAATGGTACAGAATAGAAGACACAGAGACAAACCCACATAAATACAGTTATCTCCTACTATACAAAGGCATCAAAAACACACACTGAAGAAAAGATAGCCTCTTCAACAAATGGTGCTGGGAGAACTGGAAACCACATACAGCAAAATGAAAATAAACCCCAATCTCTCACGATGCACAAAACACAACTCAAAGTGGATCAAGGACCTAGGAATTAGTCCAGAGACCTTGCATCTAATAGTGATAAAGTAGGCCCAAATCTTAACCATGTCAGATTAGGCCCCAACTTCCTTAACAAGACTACTAAAGCGCAAGAAATAAAATCAAGAATTAATAAATGCAATGGACTCAAACTAAAAAGTTTCTCCTCAGCAAAAGAAACAATCAATGAGGTGAACAGAGACCTACAGAATGGGAAAAAAATCTTTACCATACACACCTCAGATAGAGCACTAATCTCCAGGATATATAAAGAACTCAAAAAACTAAACACCAAAAAAACAAATAACCCTATCAATAAATGGGCTAAGAAACTGAACAGACACTTCACAAAACAAGAAATACAAACAATCAACAAATATATGGAAAAAAAATGTTCATCATTTCTAGCAATTA